CACTAATTTTAGTAATTTCTGTAGCAGATCCAGTAGCTAGCTACAAATACTTTAAAAAAACACTTCAAGCAAGTTTTGTTTTTAGCGCCAGGACAAATGATGAAAATATCATATTCTAAATTGCTTAACATGTATCATATAATTTTGATGTGTTGGTTGAGTGTAACAAAATGAAATCTCGTATTTATTAAGTTTCGGGTTTGTTTTTAGGGTGGTATCTGTACTTAAAGGTGATTCCCTAATTCTGGACAAAGTTGCAAGTTGCCATCTGAAACCTTTGGCTTCTCTTTGAATGTAGTTATCGTACTTTGAATTAGTACTTATATTATATGATTCATACTTTGTATTTTATAGTGTAGAAGTGCAGTTGGTAAAGATATTTTTGTGTGTGGTATACAGTTTTCCGCTTCTTGCTTTTATTGATAATAAGTCTGTTTGTTTATATATAATCATAAAAAATAATTTTAATTAAGATTACTCCCCGAAACCTTACCAGCTTACACCCCTTTAAAGAAATCATGCAAGGACATTTCCATGTTCTTTTAAAAGTATAATTCCACCAATGATCTTTACTTTGTTATAGGCTTTTTGGCTGTCTAATATTATCGTGTATTTTTTGTTAGCCTATGATATTTAACCCATATTAAAAAAAAACAGTAATGTTAAGGTAGGACACATGAAAAAGAAAAAGAAAACTAAATTGCAAACATAAACCTTTTTTATTGTTATTTTTTTTAATAAAAGAAAAAAAAATAATGGGTGTATTACTTCTTGTGTGCTGCTTATTGTACATAAAATAATCATGTAAACTACTTCTTGAATACCGCACATTTTTTGAACCACATACTTGTAGTAAAATTATTACACATGTTTTAGACATCTACAATTATTATTTTTACTTAGTTTTATTTAGCTCTTTTTTAATGCAGTACTAATTTTAAAATTTTTGAATTTTAATTTGTAGATGTTATTTTAAATAATTTGAATTATATTAGCAAATTAAAAATAATCTTAAAAAAGTGTTTTATTCATATATACCAGTACAAATATATATATATATATATATATATATATATATAAATAAATAGTAGTTACTTATTTCACTCAATAACTCATGTTTCATATTACATATTAAATTTCAACAATCTTAATTGTTAAATTATAAATTTTTATTAATACAGATAAAGCCCACGAGAATTTTAAAATTTTGAAACTATTCGATATCTCGTTTTATTAATTCAAATTAATGTATAAAATATTTAAAGTTATTAATAATTTGAATTAATGAAGTGGAGTATCAAACAATTTTTAATTTTGTCTTAAAACTTTGTAAATTTGATCCATACATTAAAAACTTTTAATTTAACATTCAAATTGTTAAAATTTGATGTAGAATATAAATTATTGAGTGGAGTAAGTTTAAGTAGACTTATTTCACTCAATAACTCATATTTTATATCAAATATCAACGATCTAATCGTCGAATTAAAAATTCTTGACGTATAGATGAAATATGCAAAGTGTAAAAAAATTGAAAAATATTTTATACTCAATTTTATCAATTGAAATCAACATATAATTTTTTTTTATGATTATCCGTCAATTTGAATTAATGAAACAAAGTATTAAATAATTTTCAAATTTTTTACAAATGTGCTAACTTGATCTATGCATTAAAAATATTTTAATTCAACAAGTTGAAATTTGATGTACAACATAAATTATTGAACAAAGTAAATATAACTATATTTACTTTTTGAGTAAGCGAATATATTCTCATTTATAATTATCTACCAGTTTGAATTAATGAAAAAAGAATACCAAATAGTTTATAACTTTTTAAATATTTGCATATTTGATCTATGAATTAAGATATTTTAATTTTTAATGATTGAATTCTTAAAATTTGATGTAAAATATAAATTATTAAATAAAATAAATTTATATAAACTTACTCTTAAAGTATATAAACTATGATAATATTAATAATATCTTTTATAATTTAGACTCTTTGACTCAAGTATATAAAATATATTTTTAAAGTTAGATTATTTAATTTGAAAAAAAGCCATAAAGATAACACTTAATATAAAAGATCTTTAGTTTTGTGAAAATTTGGAGGGGCATGACTCCTATTCCCCCTAAATGTTCCGCCACCAAACTATAGAAATTACTTAATGGTGTGTTTGGAAGAGGAATTTTAAAATTTAAAGAATTTTAAATTTTTGGTATTTGAATTACTTTGATTTTAATTTCTATCATTCTTAAAATATTTTGTTTGGATAAGTCAATTCAAATTTATCAAATTTTAAATTATTAGGTTGGATATGATAATTTGATTCTATCATAATAAAATTGGTTTTAAAAATATATTTATATGTTGATATTTTTAAATTAAATTTTATAAAAATAAATATTAATTAATTTTTAAATATTTGATAATTTTAAAAATTAATATTAGATAATATTTAAGAAAATTTAAAAATATTTTTTTGAATATTTAATAATTAAAAACATTAAGATATAATAGATAATATAAAAATATATAAGTTAAATAAGGAGAAAAGAAATATGAGGAATTTCAAATTCTTACTTTTTTTGGAAGAATTTGAAATTTTACTATTTCAAGGAATTTCATAAATACTTAAATTTTAAATTCCTTATAAATTCTCTATCCAAACAAGTATTTCACCTCAAAGAATTTAAAAATTTTCAAATAAATGAATTACCCCATTTAAATTCTTTATCCAAACATACTATAAAGCTATTTGTTTTTATTTTAAGTTTGATAATATTTTTTATCTTTATATATCAACATATACTTTTTAATTTTTAAAATTTTTATCAATATTGTATAACATAAAATTGAGAATTTTTTTTTGCCTTTTTATATATAACGTTTAAAAATTATTTTTAAAGCTTTTGTAACAAACTTATGTAAGAAGAGAGAGCACGTAAGAAGGCAACCCATAAGCTGTGAAAAAGACAGATTTATGCTACACAATAAATGGATGAACACTAGACTAAACATTCATACAAAGCGACTGTATAGCAAAATAAAAGTAACAAAAATTACTAGAGAGTGAAAAAAATTGCGCAAAAGTGGCAAGCAGAATAAAAGTAACAGAGTGGTTCCCAAGCGTGAGGTTCAGCAGTAGGAGTTGATCCATGCTTAAACAAAGTCAGGGGTTCGAATCCTGCCTTGTGTATGCAGCCGCGTTAAATCTTGGGGCCAGCTATTCCACCCTTTGAGACCCTTTGAGGTGCCTCCAACGTAACCAAACAGAGGAAATGTTGTCATGTGTCTAGTAAAGTCACTTATTAATATAAAGTAATACAGATTTGACGGCAAATTAAAAAAGAAAAAGAAAAATAAAAATTAGAGACAACTCATATAAGAAGACAAGCCATCTAGCTGTGAAAGTAACAAAAATCTTTCAAGTTAATTTTACTTTTTCTTTTCTTTATATATTAAAATGACCGAATATTAAATTAAATGCATGGGATGCTGTTTTCTTTAAACCGTAGATTTGGGTGAAAGTTTCAAATAAAATAATTACTAAATAAAGTAAATGAAATTGGGAGAAATCAAATAGAGCCATAGAGGAAATGTTGCCATGTATTTACTAAGGTAATGAACAATATTGGTTGGGTTGCAAAAATCAAGTGAAATGAAAAATATGCTAATGAGAAATATATAATGTAGATGTAAAATACAAATTATCTGATTATTTTAAGATTTATAGTTTCTAGTGTGAAAATTTGATCATGAAGATGATTATTTTAATTGTATTTAGTTATTTACAAAGATTTATTCTAACATATCCATATTTGAGTAAAAAAATTAGAATTATTTTATAATAATTGTACATAATTAATAGAAAAAATTATTATTTTAACAAGAAAACACCAAAATTCAAAATAACACAATATTAATAAAAAAATTGTAACTCAACCTCCATAATATTTTTTTTTATAAATAAAAATGATAAATAAGAGATGACACTTCTATGATTATAAATAAGGAGTTAATGACATGGTATGAATCCTCAGACTAAACTTCACTTCTAACATCAAGAGATTTCCTTTAATAGGTATGTTCACCAATAGTGAGTATTGAACTCGTATTATGGAGAACACAAAATTTGAGTAAATCATGTATCATTTGTTGTAATTTTCAATGGCTCAAACTTAATAATATGCTTATTTAATTTAATTTTTACTAAATGATTCTTTTTGTTTTTTTTAATGAACTTAAAGTGTGATATTTTTAATGATTTTTTTGAAAATTTGAGAGAAAAAACATCTTAGAAGCTTTTTTTTAAAGGTTAAATTGCACTTTTATCTCTCTATAGTATCGAATCTCTAATTTTAGTCTCTTTATTTTAAATGTATAATTTTAGTCATTTAATTTTATAAAATTCGTAATACTGATATTTTTTATTTTAAAATTTATAATTTTAATCCAATTTTACGGTTTTGATTTCCTGAAATGTTATTTTATTAATCATTAAAATTATAATGTTAATCATAATTTTATGAATGACATAATAATTAATATTTAATAATATTTAAATTAAATTTTACTTTTAATTTTTATTTTATAAAAAATGATAAATAAGATAAAAGTGAAATGAAAATAAAAATAAAAATAGTAATTTAACTTAAATATTTGTGACAATACATTGTTAAGTCATAATAGATTTTACAATTTTAACGATAGATGAAAAATTCAATGAAAATATTAAAATTATAAATTTTTTAAAATTAATAAATTAATATTACAAATTTAAAAAATAAAAGAAAAAATTGCGAGTTTAATATTTAACACTTTCAAGATTGGTAGCAAATCACATATTTATAGAAAGTTGATGCAACCTGTCAAGTTAGAAAAGAGAATAATTTGGCAACAGTAGGAGCAGTGCATGAGCATGAAAATGAGATTGATACAAAATTCTCACTGATCGCGACTCCATCCTTCATCAGGTAACCTTCGAAGTTCGAATCAATCATCTATTCGATGTTTACTATCCGTTTGTTCCGATTCCATTTCCACATTTTCACTTTCGTTTCACTCAGTTCTCCTAGGATCTCTTGCGTTGCCGCGTCACGATTCGGCAATGCGAGAGATTCCCTCGCTCTTCGCTGAAATCGAATCGTTTAATTCGCAGGACAATATTTTTATTTTCATTACATTATTATTTTCATTTTTCGGTGGTGTCACAATGAATTTTTTGATGCGGTCTACGACGGGCGTGTACGGAGAGCGTTCGGCGATTCCGCTTCCGGAGCCTCGTGCTGATGCGCATCATAATAGGTCTGCATCCGCTGGATCTTCTTTGGAGACTCTCGTGTCTGATGATCCATATGCACGCCATGATGCTGAGGTTGATCGCGGCATGATCAATAAGCACGTGGATGTTGCCGAGGATGAAGGATGGATTACCATTCCGTGCAGTATGTCTTCGCTTCGCCCATCATTTTCATGGTTATTTCTATTTTTGTTGATAATTTCGGCGTCGCTACAGAATTTTGGACATAATGTGATACATTAGTATAAACTTAGAGTCTAATGGTGATACACTCACATTGCAAAATAGTTTTACATTGTCAACCAATCAGATATCATTGAAAATGGTGGAAGGCGTAAGATAGTTTTACACAGTCTAATGTGTTGATCTTTTTTTTATTTTTTATAAATATTATATAGCTCTCTTAGTTATAAAATAAATTATTTACCCTCCTCTCCCTTTCCCTTCAAAACACAATTCCTGAACTTATGTGGGAGGACATTGTCGTTATCTTCTGCTGCTCATCAATGTTGTGTATTGTGTTGCATTAATCCTAGGTTGGTTCTTAAATCGTAGCTTGCTCCTCGTGGAATATATTTACACTTATTTACATTTTGTTACCTGAATAAGATATAATTATGATTTTTTTTTTCCTGATGTTAAGCATAAAGTGAAAGAAATGATGTACTAGATCCCCACCGGATATAAGACTGCATGGTGCAAGTGCAAGTACTTGGTTCATGGGGAATTAATTGATATCTACATGGGCAGCTGTTGTGTTTTTGCTAAACCATTAGAGAATGTAAGATTACGTCAACTGTCTCTGTTCTTCTAGGTCTAGTCTAGAAGCAATTTGTTAATTTTTTTGTTACATGCTTAGCGCATGAATGAAAGTGTAATCATATCATGGTTCTTCTAAGCCTTCAGTTCAATGGTAAAACTAAACAGAGCTATTTATTTTAAGTCCTTCCTCCTGTGTGTGCTGTTATGGGACAGATTGCTATGCATGTATAACGGGATACAGCCAATTCTCAATTTTCTTTTTGTAGAGGTACTTCCTGAAAACTGGAATTGTGCACCAGATATACAGTCTCTGCACTCCCTTGACCGTTCCTTTCTTTTACCTGGTAATAGATTGTTTAATTCTTTTAATATGTTAATCTCAGTTTTGGCATATGTAATTTGGTCAGCTGGCTTGCACAAAAAAGTTGAGCAGACCTAATTCATACCTGTAATTCAGGTGAACAAGTTCATATCTTGGCATGCTTGTCTGCATGTAAGCAGGATACATCTTCATTTAAAGTTGCAGCAGCAACGAGTGAGAATGACACAGGTCACAGCCCCAAGAAAGAAAATGGAACCATTGAAAACAGAAATAATGCAGTGTCTGGAGAAGGGGAACTAGGTACCAGTGTTGAAGAGCAGCTGGAAGATGTTTCGGATGGTGAATCCCTTGTTCAAAAAGAGATTCTCAAAAAACAAACTGCATTATTGTTGCAAAAGTTTGAAAATTCTCACTTCTTTGTGAGGATTTCTGAGTCCAATGATCCCCTTTGGTCCAAAAGAAGCTCTTCAGAAGTTGTTTCCAACTCTTCTGATGCAAATAATGGAAAGGCCTCAACAATCAAATCTGAAGAGACTTCATTGTCTTCTATTAGTGCCGTTATTGATAGAGGAAGTTTTGATTCAAATGTTTCTGGTGGAGTGGCAAGAAATTCTGTGAAGTGTTGTGCTTTACCTAATGGAGACATAGTGGTATGTGTCATAAATGTTGGAAACTATAATTTTGCATTTAATTGATCTAAAATTGGTAAGGAGAGACAAGGATGCTTTGTTTGTTAATATGTTTGGATTTTAAAGTTCCACTATCAGATGAAGTACTCTGTATATGTGAAATTTGGGACCAATCCATATAAGTTTTCTGTTGCTTCCCTTTTGATTGCCTAGATTTCTCCATTATTTCAACACATGCATGCAAGCTGCTTGGTCTATTTTCTTGTATTTATAATATACAAGTGTAGGTATTTTTAACATAGGAAATCTATGGCGAGTTAGTGATACACAATAAGGAAAATAAAAACATACATTGTATCAATGGTAGTTGGGTTTTTTCCCTGTGATGAGGAGGATGCTGTGATTACTGAAAACAGAATGGCTTAAATAATAACTGTGAAAGCAGTATGTATTTCATCAGTTAGTTAGTTCAAACGCAGTAGAGACATCACCCGTGGTTGTGATTCATAACTAAAAATCATGGCAAAGTCTCAATTCCTGTTGGTGATCCTTTATTTGTAGGTTATATGTATTTACTCTGTAAGCCCTGATCAAGGTTTGTGGCTGTTTTTGACCTTGGAATGGGGTCACCTGCCCTCCATCAAAACCCTTTTTAACAAAATAACTGAAAGGCAAAGTGCCATTTTGATTTTTGTCTATTTAAGGACAACATTCTTTTGTCCTAAATCGTGTGTTGGAAACCAACCTTATATTATGAGAGTCCGTCTCACATACTTTTGTACATTGTTCATGTTTCTTAATTTATAAGGTAAATCCATACAAATGGTGCACTTTCTCACTTGAAACTAGGAACCTATATAATAACATTTTGAAAGTTGAAGTTTGGGCATTAGAGGTTAATAGTTTTTTTATAGACATGATTTCTGATAATAATATGTCACTGTTTGATTCAAGTAGGCATGTAGCTAACCCCACTTAGTGGGAAAAGACTTCATTGTTGTTTGTTGTGTAACCTATTTCTTTTTTGGTTAGCATTCTACATCTATTAGTTTTTTTATTTGGGGGATAAATTACTATTTTGTTGCCCTATAATTTCTTTACGATATTGTTTTCATCCATATTTTGGAGGAAATAATAAAAATATGGTTTTGGTATAAATATAGTTATGTTTATGGCCTCTCTTTGGTGCTCAGCCCATGTTTGTGTTTTTACGCGTTTTCCTTTTATCTGGGTTTTTTCTTGGAGGATATCTTGTCCTCATTCTAGTTGTATTTCCCATTTCTCTGTAAAGAAATTTCTTTCTTCCATAAAACAAACCATTCCAATACATAGTTTGTCTTTACTTCTATAAGACTACAAATAGCTTTTTGATAACCATGACATGCAACACTGCAGTTAATTCACTTGTTCATCTTGTTATTGCTAGTGAAACATTGAGAATATTTTAGTAAGAATGTAACTTTTTAGTGCATTTGGATGAGGTTGTGGAATGGGTTTCTTCTATGCTTTGCACTGATTCTCTGTTTAACAGTATTTCAACATCTGCAATCTTTATATTTCCTCTGGAGTAGTTGGAGCACAAAATTTCTATATGTATATGAAATTTGGACCTGCTATTCTGGAGTTACTTATGTAATTATGCCATCATTGGCCTTTCTAGAACATATCCTTTATAACTGGGAATTCGATGCTCCAAACTATCTTTTGGATGCTATCACCTTGGTCTCTTATTTTTATTGAACATTTCCATTTATTAAATTTTAAATATCTTTTGGTGGTGTTTCCTTTTCCTCTTTAATGCCTTTGAAGGCATTTGTGAATTTTTGCTAGGGAAATCCTAGTTGATCAAGAAATGCTTTCTATATAACTTCATCTTAACTTGTGGATTCGAAGGTTGATTATCACAATTACTCAGATTATTGATCTAATTCAGTTTTCCTCTGTGGAAGGATGCAGGTTCTTTTACAGGTGAATGTTGGTGTTAATTTTCTTTCAGATCCTTGTATAGAAATTCTTCAATTTGAAAAGCATCAGGAGAGAAGGTCATCTTCTTTCAGCAAGGTGGATCCAGTTTATACAAATCAGGATTCGTGTGTGGAGCTGTTAAATTGGATAATTCCATTGGATAGTGGGAAACCTTCTAATTGCCCACCATCCCCTTCTCATTTAACTTCAACTTCGGGATATGGTAGCTCCTCTCAGAGATCCAACATTTCTGGATCATCTAGCTCTCAGTTATTCTCCTTTAGCAATTTCAGAAGTTACTCCATGTCATCAATACCACAAACTATGACCACTCCGGCTGCTCCTGTTAAAGCAGCTAGTTCTAAGCCAGATTTTGACTTTGAGGAGTGGGATCAAATATCATCTCAGAAATATTTACGGAAAAAAAGGGGGGTGGAAGGACTTTTATCTTTTCGAGGTGTTTCATTGGAACAAGATAGATTTTATGTTTGTTGTGGATTAGAAGGCATATATACACCAGGAAGAAGATGGAGAAGGAAACTTGAAATAATACAACCCATACACATTCATTCTTTTGCTGCCGACTCCAATTCAGATGATCTTCTGTGTGTTCAGATAAAGGTTTGAACTGTGATGTCATACATCAAATTATTTGACTATTTTGGGCCTTTCTACTGTTTTTCAGTTCTGCTTTTATTAATTGTTTTTAAGTTGTTCTCCAGAATGTTGCTCCTACACATGCTCCAGATATTGTGATATTTATAGATACCATAACTATTGTTTGTGAGGAGTTTACAAAAAATGGATCACTGTCGTCGTTGCCAATTTCATGTATTGAAGCTGGAAATGATCATTCTTTACCAAATCTAGCCCTCAGGTTGTTTTCCTGAATAATTATCTTAATATTGTTTATAACTTTCTATCATTACTTGTCAGTGTCTTGGCTGATCTTAATATCTGGCTATCAAATTGCATATGCTTATAGAACATAAGCTAGAAAAGTGTCTGGGGTTCAATATGCACTTTAGGAAGCCAAAAATCTTGACATGGCATTATATTAGTTTTTCTATATCATATTTAGCATTTGCCCATTTTTTAATGTTAAAGAGGTATTTTTTATATCAATACTTAGCCATTTGGCAAAAGATTGTAAATGATTTCTTTTTGATTCTTAGAGAGGAAAGTTGAATTTTTTCCTCAGTTGCAGCAAACTAGCTGTTAAACAACTTCGTGGCTTAACTAATGTTCTGTTAATTAAATTATTTTGGGGAGTTAAACTATTTATGCTTAAATATAGTTTTGGTCCCCTTTTCGATCCCCATACATCTAATTGAGCATTTTAGTCCCTAAATTTTATCGCAAGTTAAAATTGGATGCCTCGACATCTAAATTGTGATGAAATTTGTTCATATCAATTATCTTTTACTTAATTGATGGCTGACACAGGTCAAAAAAATCCTTGTAGATATAGTTGTAATTTTTATGAAAAAATAACAAGTCATAACATAATCATCAATTTTAAGTGAATTCACTTTTACTTTGTTATTTCTTATTTGAACTGATAGATTGGTGAACACTTGGAGGATATAGAAAAGGCTATCAGAAGGCAAAGGCAATGAAGAGGGTGATGCAATAACAATAACCTTATTTCATTAGGTTAGGTCGGCTACATATATCATACAATGTCATTGAGTTCAATTAATAACAAAATTCTCAGGGGTAATTGACCGTCTTTCTTGGACTTCCTCTACATTTTTTTCATAGGACTAAGATCCATGTGATCTATTCTCTAAACCAATGCCTCCCATCCAGTAGACCTTTTTGCACATATCTAAACATTTACCAATTTTATGTCATCTTTTCCTCGATAGGTGTCACACTAATATCTCCATGTATTCAATTACTTTGTGTCTTTTCCTTTTTAGCGTGACCACATATCCATCTTAATATATTCATTTCTACTGCTGTAACTTTTTTCTTTTCTCCCTTTAAAGCTCATCATTCACTAGAATAAAGTATAGCTGGTCATATAGTACAATACTTTCGTTAGTTTGGTAGGTGCTTTGTGATCAAAATAACTCCTCGGGATGCTTTTTTATTTTAACCACTCATCATGTATCCTGTGTTACAATTTTTCATTAATTTCCCCACCATTTTGAAATAGAGATCCGACCTACTTAAACTTAGAAACCTATGACATGATATCGGTAGAGAGCAAGAGTGAAAAATTGCTTATCTTATTCAAAAGTAAAATTACTGCTTACATAGAAATATTACATTAAAGATATTCCTTGATTCAAGGAATATTAAAAAGGAAACAAATAATACCTCTTCCAATTCTTATTATAAGACATTTTTAATCAAATCATACATATCAATATTAGTAATTATGTTAGTTGATTTTATTAGGTTTATAAAACAAGATCATGATGTGTCATTTTACCTTTTTTACTTATTAAATTTTCATGGGAGGGGTGAATATATTACTCTATATCAAAGCTTACGCACCAATACCAATAAAATTGATAAATGACAAATGAAGAGTTAAGAGGTGAGAAAGAGAATATTTATTAATTATTTATCAAATTTCCTTCTCATTATTTAACAATAAGAAGCACGTATTCTCACAATATGTAATAGGAACAAAGGATAAAAAATAAAAATTAATACTTAATAGAAATTGTATAGTATCTTATAAAAAGGACTATCATTTCCTTTTAAATTGTGCCTTATAATAAGGATCGAAGGGAATAAGAGATCTTATTTTTAAAACAAAATAAATCAAATCTCTGTTGCCTTTAATATGAAAATTTGCAATATCTTTAATTCCTATACCCCCCTCCCTTCTCTCAAGTTGGTGCATATATATTTATCATGCTCAACTTGCTTATCCAATGCTCAAAAGTGAGCCTTGCTAGGTTCTTTGCCAAGAAGTTGGTTGTTTGTTTACTAGAAGCCACAAATGGTAAGAAAATAATTTCAGCATCTATCATACTAAACAAGATTGTGAGCTATGCTTACTACAGCTTTGCTGCCACAGTACAACATCAATGAGAGTTCCGCTGCCATCTCGAGTACTTCTAGGACAATACAAATCCATAGTCGTTCACAAATTCCTTTTGCCATTGCTCTAAATTTAGCTCCTGCACTACTTCTAGCAACAACTCCTTGTTTCTTCCTTCCCCATGTTACCAAATTTCCCCACACATAGATGCAATTACCTGAAATGGATTTTTTGTCTATAACAGACCTTGCACTGTTGGAAATAGGAATATTTTAGGAAATAAGAACTTCTTTAATATTTATTTTTCCAAGTTGCCTAGATACTTGGTATAGCTAGATTAAATGCATCATAGAAACTAGGAAGTAGTGGTATCTTAATTGTTCTCTTGTAATTTGTGTTGGCATTAATTATCTTTGTAATTCTGCTGAATATAAATAACCCATTCTGTTGGGTGGAATTACCGGATATTCAGAAAATATTTGTTTTTTTCTTTTAACATGGTATCAGAGCTCCCAGTTTAAGGTGGCTCTACTTCTGCAACAAAATCACTTTGAAAAAGGTCTGATTGGGCTATTAAGCTGTCAGCAATTTGTAAACTTGACTGGGAACTGAGTGCTGTCAAGTTTTACTGCATTTCTCTGTTTTTTGGCAACTGTCAGATGTTCTGGTAACTTTTTTGGTTATTTTCAGATTTTTCGGTGACTTTTCCGGCAGCTTTTCCAATGACTAGCAGATTTCTCGAGGATTTCTCAGCATCCTTCCAGTTACTTATAGCTTTTTGAACTTGCATTGGAGTTCAATTCCCTCTATTTTTTTCTTGTTAGGCACACCTTTATCTCAAAAGTCTAAATTTTCTATTTGATTTGCTTTTAATTCTCTTATCTTCTTTTAAAGAGTGTGGTGAGATTCGAAGTGGTTTATCTTCTACCTTGAAGTGACACTACTTGAAAAGAGTTCTTCACCTTTGAAGGTGAGTCCAGAGGTTTCTTTCTCCATCGGAGATTTTCAAGAAGCTTGAAGAGTGTCAATAAGGAAAAAATCTAGGAAGAAACTTGAAGGAAAAGCTACAACAACCAAGTTCCTCCTCGAGGTTTCTATCATTTGTTTAGTATTCTGCATGAACAGTGCCAATTTTTTCATCCAAACAAACGACAGATTCTATTGCGTTTCAGGAAAAAAAATTCTGAATATGTTTGAGTGATAATTTCACCCAGCAGAATGGATTTATTTATATTCAACAGAATTACAAAGATAATTAATGCTAACACAAATTACAAGAGAATAAGATACCACTACTTCCTATGATGCATTGTACCTAGCTATACCAAGTATCTAGGCAACTTGAAAAAATAAATATTAACGAATTTCTTATTTCCTAAAATATTCCTATTTCCAACATACCCAATCTGTATTAGTGAAAAAACAACATTCCTTTCACTATTTTTTTTTTATTTAAAAAAATAGACGTTTTCCACGATTGCTCTTTAAGTTCCTCAAAATTTTGTAGGCTGCTTGAAGGTGTTCTTCATAAGGAGAGTGCAAAAACTGATGTTCAACACACAAAAAAAGCAATAACAGGCCATGTATGAGACAGGTAAATTAGTTTGTCAACTAAACTACGGTATCTTCCAACATCAATAGGAACACTTCCTTCTTCCCAAAGTTTCATGTTGGGATTCATAGGGTTATCAACAACTACTCGTCTCTGTTTCCTCTAAGAGGTCCAGAATGTACTTCCAGAATGTATTGAGCAATGCCAAGAAAGTATCTCAGATCCTAATTCCTTGATCTCAAATTTTGTTGCCAAGTTCTTTTTTAGCCTCTCTAATTCTACTTCATCATCTTCATTGAGGATGAAGTCGTCAACATAGACTATCAGTGCAACAACTATCCCTTTAGAAAGAAATTGTAAATAAGGTATGATTTGCTTACCTTTCAAACCATGCTCTGTTTCCAAATTTGTTTTCAAAGCCTAGAGGACTATCCATGTATAATCTTCCTCTAAGTTGCCATTGAGGAAGACATTTTTTACTTTTAATTGATGCACAGGCCAATATAATTTGGCAGCAAAAGATAAGATAATTCTGACGGTGTTTATCTTTGCAATTGGAGCAAAGGTCTTTGAATAATTTAAACCATAGTTTTGTGTGAATCCCTTAGTCACCGATTGTGCCTTATATCTTTGCATTAAACCATCAAAATTATATTTCACAGTGAAAACTGTTAAATATGTGTTAAAAATATAATTTGATATGATTGATTCCTTAAAATTAGGGAAACTTGTATAGCAGAAATTAGGGATTTTACTCATTATTACCTAAAGGAATTATATGTGAGAGAGAGAGAGAGGAGGCGAGAGTACTCTACAATAATGAGATATTATTCGCTTTGGGCCTTAGCTCTCACGGTTTTGTTTTTTGTCATTACCCAAAAGGTCTCTCAATCATTGAAGTATGTTTGTATTATATAAGTTATTATTTCTTGTTTTATTTTATCGATGTAGGACTTGTTTGTATCCCAACAATCCTCCCCTCAAACAAGGGACCTAACCTTTCATGCAGCGGAATCTGTCATTATATAGCACATTATATGTTATGAGTCTTTATGGGGGTTATTGGTTGTCACCGAATCCAACCTGCAACTCTGATACCAGATGTTTGTATTATATAAGTTATTATTTCTTGTTTTATTTTATCGATGTGAGACTTGTTTGTATCCCAACAATCCTCCCCTAAAACAAGGGACATAACCTTTCATGCAGCGGAATCTGTCTTTGAAGTATGTTTATATTATATAAGTTATTATTTCTTGTTTTATTTTATCGATGTAGGACTTGTTTGTATCCCAACAATCCTCCCCTCAAACAAGGGACC